ATTATATGTTAAGGACTTATATAAACTCGATAATATCCTCGAATTTCGTCCTTTTAACTCTATGAACTTAAAAAATTACCTATTCGTCCTTGTGAATCCAAAAAATTTTATTTATTTTTTCATTCTAAAGAAATTTCCTCTAGCATTTGGACCCATATTTTTATTCTACATTGCATTGAATTTTTAAAATAATTTTTGGAATGAATCATATTTTTGAAATTACAAAGTCCTTTAAAATAAATCCTGACGTCAAAGAAAAAAATAAATAAAAACGCCACTTTAAATAAAAAAGTAGGTTTCAAACCCATTTATTTATTACTTATTTTATGGTAGGAAAGCTTTTCAAGCAATAAAGAAGCAGTTTTTTTTCGATTTAAGTTGTTGAAAAGTAATGAATATCTAAGTCCCGGGACTAATCCCGGAATTCCGGGATTGTGATAGCGCCATACCGAAAATCCCGGGATCGGAAAAAGCTGAAAAATTAACATCCCTAGTGGATACCTGCTTACTGAAATGAGCCAGATGCTGATGTAAGCTGTGAATTTTTAAGGACATGTACTTTTTGTTACATATGTATTTACCGCAGCAGTGGCAAAATTTGTTAATATCTGACTTAAACGCTGCCATTTTACTTTTTCAATACAGTTATGTTGTTCTATCCAAAGATAGGGCGTTTTTCAATCAAATTCTGAAGTAGGGCGTTCTTGAAAAGTTTTCTGAGATAGGGCGTTTTTGAACTGGCTGCCGAGATATGTCGATCTTCCACTCAACCATCGATATGTACTTACCTATTTATTTACATACTTACCTACTTATTTACATATTTACCTATTCACATAGGCGCTTGCTTATATATATGTGGTCATAACATTTTAAACATTTGGATTGTAATGTTAACCTTATGGGGAAACCAAAATATGTTCGTCTATAACTTTTTAAATAGCCTAGATGGCAAGATGGGGATTTCACATACACATTGAACAGTGGTTGCAGAATACGATAGCATATATAACTAAATTCTTTCTTAAGTCGACTTAGGCGGTTATTGCTTATGACCACAGATACATAGTGGTCGAAAAAATAGGCTCACAACAATTTGTAAAGTTTTAACATATTTTTTGTTACTTAATTTTGGTTATTTTTTATTATAAAAACATAGTTCATTCTTTAACGAAAACCGTATAAATGCAAGTTTAAAGTTTTGCGCAATATTAAAAAAAAATTCAACAAGCTTTCGTAAAAGTTTTCTTGCTTTTTAAATATATTTGTTAGAAAGATTTTGCAGTTTTGTAGCACATTGAATTGATTTAATATTTGATTTGATTTGATTTAATATAAAAATAAATTATCTTTATTAAAAACTGTTTATTCGTTATATGGAAGCAAATTGCACAAACAAAAAATTTAAAAAAGTAACGCTAATTTTTAACCATTTAACACCAGCACTTTGTTCTACTAGAATTCAATGGGGTACAAAACTACATGCTCAAAATCTTTCTAAGAAATCTAATTAAAAAAATAACAAAAAATATATAAATTGCTAAAATTTATCATTATGTGGTGCGGCTATAATTTTTACGACCACTGTATGCACATACATACTATTCCATCATTTTTCCTTTTTTGAAACATACAGTGACTCAAACAAGTGTTCACTTGCTGATCTTGTTAAATGTTCACAATTTTTTCAAGTTAAATGCTTGTTATTTTTCTATAAAAATATTGTCCAATTTTTAACCAAGACATACAAACTTTTTAATAATTCTATGTCCATCAATAAATTTGTTTCAGTGTTTATTAAAAACCAATGTTTTTAAAACATTGGAATCTGAAAAACTTTAATTTTTATAAAGATCTATATTTCTATTAAAAAAAATTAAAATGTATTTCATTACAAACAAAATATATATATATATATGCATATATAAATATTTATATAAATTATTTTTCACATTCTTGTTTTATTTAATTTCATTAAATTCTACCTAAAAAAGAATGCAATGAAATGAAATTAAAATAATTTGATGGAGTTATAGTGATGTGAAAAGTAATAGGGATGCGAAATTTTGACCTTTTTTGATTAATTTCTTGTTTTTTTTCTTTGTTTAGTGATTATTTCTTTTTAAACTGATCTTAATGGGCTATAAAACCACATACTTCGATTTTTTCTAAAAAATTTGACTAAATAATTTGTTGTCAAATTTTGTTGCATTTTTCTATAAAGTTTTAAATTTAGACTGATATGGGTTTGGTTAGATAATGAGCTCAATTTAGAAAGAAATAATAAACATTAAAAAAAAAAAACAAAATTAGTCAAAAGTGGTCAAAATATCGCGTCCCTATTACTTTTCACATCACTATAACTCCACCAAATTATTTTAATTTCACTTCATTGCATTCTTTTTATTATATTTTAATTCAGTCTTATTTTATTTCGAATCAGTTCTTTTTAATGAATTTCTATTTAATCCTCTTCTATTTTTGTTTCATTCCATTTATCTTTTAAGTTTTTTAGTTATTTATTTTTATGCTTGTTTTTTTCATTTACTTATTTTTTTGTTTGTTAATAAATGTATTTATTTACTTGTTTCATTTTATTCTTATTACATTTACTTTTATTTTATTTTATTCTATTTGAGTTTCTTTGATTATATTTTATCATATTTTTAATTATCATTTTTATATATATTTAAATATTTATTTGTTTCTTTTATTTTATGGAATTTAACTTAAGCTTATTTTATCATATTTATTTATTTATTTTATTTTATTATTTCATTTGATTTTATTTTAATTTATTAAATTTAATCGAAGCTCATTTGATCATGTTTATTCATTCATTTTATTTTATTATTTCATTTGATTTTATTTTAATTTATTAAATTTAATCGAAGCTCATTTGATCATGTTTATTCATTCATTTTATTTTATTATTTCATTTGATTTTATTTTAATTTATTAAATTTAATCGAAGCTCATTTGATCATGTTTATTCATTCATTTTATTTTATTATTTCATTTGATTTTATTTTAATTTATTAAATTTAATTTAAGCTCATTTGATCATGTTTATTTATTTATTTTATTTTATTTTATTATTTCATTTGATTTTATTTTAATATATTAAATTTAATTTAGGCTCATTTGATCATGTTTATTCATTTATTTCACTTTATTATTTCATTTGATTTTATTTTAATTCATTAAATTTAATTTAAGCTCATTTGATCATGTTTATTTATTTATTTTATTTTATTTTATTATTTCATTTGATTTTATTTTAATATATTAAATTTAATTTAGGCTCATTTGATCATGTTTATTCATTTATTTCACTTTATTATTTCATTTGATTTTATTTTAATTCATTAAATTTAATTTAAGCTCATTTGATCATGTTTATTTATTTATTTTATTTTATTCTATTTGATTTCATTTCATATTTATTTGTATTTATTTATTTAATTTTTTTTATTTAGTATTTAGTTATTCAACTTGTTTATTCNATTATTTCATTTGATTTTATTTTAATTCATTAAATTTAATTTAAGCTCATTTGATCATGTTTATTTATTTATTTTATTTTATTCTATTTGATTTCATTTCATATTTATTTGTATTTATTTATTTAATTTTTTTTTTATTTAGTATTTAGTTATTCAACTTGTTTATTTTAATTTTATTTTATTTGTCTTTAGTTCTACATCTAATCTTAGAATTTCCAGGTTAATCTCTGCTTCCTTTAATTCAAGTTTATTCTTCTTTTTGGCTCATGTATGTCGCTCAGCTGCTCTTTGGTGTTCTTCCATCCAGAAGATTTGGTGTGCATCAGAAGCTTCTTTTTTCTTTTCGCGCTTTGTCGCTAGTTTTTCGTTGGTTTTTGAACGTAGCTGAGTTGGGTTCCATGAACTCCAATCTGCTCTGGCATCCTAAAGAAATACTTATTTATAGAGAAAAATCTATAATTTTCAAATATACAGGCAGGTTCTGCAATTCACTTCCGAGTGAATTTCAACAAAATGCGCTTTGAATTCAAATTGGCAGGGGTTGAAATTCACTCGGAAGGCAATTGCAGAACCAGCCTGATTATATAATTTACGTTTTCTTTAGCTTCTGATGCTGCGTCCAGATGCTCTACCGTACAGCTCTGCATAGATTCGTCCCATGAGCCTAGCTAGCCTGTCCGTATTTTTGTCCGGTCGGTGTTGAAACTGGCCCCCACCAGTCTTATATAGCTCCCTCTTTTCATCGGCTAAATTCTTCCTGGTTCTCTTCTTCATATTCTCGTACTTCTCCCGCAAATTTTTAGGAACGCGCCTGATACCAGTTTGGGACTCAAACTTAAGGTCAATTTCTTCCCACGCTTTTCGCTTATCTTCCCACGAAACTGCGTCACTTCTTTTATTTTCTATTTTATTGGCGTACCGCTCGACCAATGTGATAAGAAGGGACTCATCGCCGCTTGTGAAATTTGGCAAACGATTTCTCTTTTTGTCATCCATTATCTTCAATATAAATTTTAAAAGTGCACACTTATCACAAAAACAAATCTAATTTTACAATTGCACGTCAAAAATGTAAACAAAACTCAGCTGGTTTGCCCATTTATGAGCATTCACAATGAGTTTTTGTGAATTGTTCTGCAAAATATTCACAATTATCGAATTAACTGGAGGTCGGCTAATCTGAGCTTGGTGAAAACGAAAATGTCAAATCAAGGTACCTGGAGATTAGCTGTCCTCTAGTTAAATGCTAACTTAACTGGAGATGGTGCAAACGGCCCTTAGGCAAAATATTGCAAATTTAAAATGGCCACAGCAAAGATATTTGATCAAAGAATGCAAAACGATTTTGAGGTTTGATTATATGCGTCTAGGCCTTTCATTCTGCGTTCGAATTATTCCGCCCCCAAAGATGCTGTTGCACAGTGTAATTTGTTCAGATTTTTCAATAGAAATTCGCTGTATTGTACCAATCGAGTGACTGCAAAAAAATTTTCGTCCCAATTTTTTTATTTTGTACCAATAGCCCAATATAAAAATGTACAAATCTGAACAAATGTACCAGTCGTGTGACACTGCCTTAACAAGTATATAGACTGATCAGAAAAAAAATGTAAGTGCTTCTTTTTTTCACGCTCTTGACTCTTTAGCTTCCATTATGGCTTAAAACTATCCCTTAAAAATTTGGTGCAAAAATATTAATATTTAAAGGTCTTACGTGGACTTTTGTGCCTCCGCCTCAAGTGCTTAAAATTACTCTTCCTTTAATCCGTGCGCACTCGAAATCCCTCTCGAAATTGAAGTTTTTAAGCTCTTACAAAAGGTTTTTATGATCGCTGCACACGTTGGGCGAGACAGTTTTACGAGCTGACCCTTAACTTTTGCGATATTACTAAAAAGTCTTAAAAAAATGCGACAATCGCGCTTTAAAAGTTGATTATTTCTTAGAAGATTGTGTCATTAGTAATATTTATAGCCACAATTTTGACAAATAAAGGGAGTCATCGCGGATTTTTTCTCGTATTTTTAAAGACTTTTTAGTAGAATCTCAAAATGTAAGGGTCGGTCGAAAAATTATCTCGCCCAACGTGTTCAGCGAGCATGAAAACCTATTGTAAGAGCTTAAAAAACTTCAATTTTGTGGGAGAAGGAAGAGTAGTTTTAAGCACATAAGATGCACAGTGTTGAAATTGAACTTTTTTCTTGACAAATGTTAAATATCTCGAGAGCGGGAACAAAAATTCGAGAAAAATATTTTCGTTGGATAAAAAAATTACGAAATTACCTTGACCTTTCAAATGACCTTCAAAGTTAGGGGGTTTCAATTGAAAAAAAAAATAAATAAATTGAAAACCCGCCGGAGCTACTGCCCATAAGGTAGATTCCAAAGAGCCATGAGGGCACTAATTCAGATTATAATTCTATTTAATTCATTCTTGAATTAGTTTTAAATTTAAATATTGTTACTTCCTACTTGAATTAAAATGATGAGTGCCTGGCGCTGATTGATGGGCGAACAGAATAAGATCTGAGGTATACACATATATACATAGATGGTTCTCTATGTTCTCGACATATCCGTATGTACTATTTAAAACTAAAGAAATAACAAATTTAAAAAAGTTAAGTAATTGGAGTAATTTATGTCGCTATTGATAAATTTTTGTAATATCTTATCTTACCGTTATGTAAAATTACAGAGTTCCTACGATTTTTTTCGGCTTGTACATTGAAAACAAGGGTGGTCTGCTTTTTTCCAACAGTTTAACCCATCAACTCCCACCAGAATAGGCCTTTTTGACCCACTGTTTAAAAAATGGCTTATAAAAGGTTAAAATATCCACTAAAATATTAAGCGCCAAGTATAACCGAATGTAATGAAAAATACTAGTTTTCCCCAAAAAGGGAAAACTTTAACCCTGTGTAAAAAACATTGCGATGCGATGGAGCAAAACCTTCCCTGGATTTGACCACCACTTATGAAAGCTAACGTAATTTTAACTCAGCCACCTAGTACTTGTATATATATGTACGTCTGTGGGACCTCAGAATAAAATAACTTACGATTGTAAAAATTAGCAAACAAAGGTTTTGTTTTTATTAAAAGCCTGTTTAAAAAATTTCTAACTCTTTGTTAAAGAAAAAAAAATAATACAAAAGAAAATCTAATTGTTTTTGTTTTATCTCTAATAACACTGGTTTACAGCAAAAATGTTCTTTGGATGCCACTATCCAATTCCTATGTAGAATTGCTCTGTGATTCTGAAAATCGAGTTAATTTTTTTTCTGTGGATACGTTTTCGAGATATTTTCAATTTTCCGTTATTCAGCTTAAAGCAAAAATTGGTTCCTTTTAATCACGTATATCTTACGAACCAATTTAAAAACCTTAATATAAAATACCGAAAATTAAAACTAATGAAATTCTCCATAAACCGCATATACATCCCTTTCCGATAGGGCTAATAGTCTCTGACAAATTGATTAATCATTCCAGCTTTTTTATTTTTTATTGAAAAAATAAAATAAAAATTTAACTTTAACAGAAGAAAAACTTAAAAAATTACGGGTTCTGTGCCAAATTTTTGCATTTGTACTAAAGCCTGTTCTGTTACAAAAAAAAAATCTAATTACTAATGAAGAATATCGATGGATAAATAAGAAATAATGAGTGGTCAAATGAAAATACGCAAAGATTTTTTGTATGTATGAAAAATGAGGAAAGAAAGTTACTCATACGCCACGTACACCAGATTAACACGCTTTTCTGCTCATATTTCATACAAAAAATCTTGGCGCATTTTCATTTGACCACTCCTTAATTCGAATTTATCCATCGATTTGCTTCATCATAAACTTTATTTTTTCTTGTAACAGAACAGGCTTTAGTACAAATGCAAAAAGTGTGCACAGAACCTGTTATTCTTCAGTTACAGTTTGCTTTTTTTTTATTTTTTCATAAAAAAAAAACTGGAATGATTAATTAATTTTTCCGAAACTATCAGTCCTATCGTAAGTGGTTATATGCGGTTTATGGAGAATTTCATTACCTTTCATTTGCCGTATTTTATATGAAGGCTTTTAAATTGGTTCGTAAGATATACGTGATTAAAAGGAACCAATTTTTGCTTTAAGCTGAACACCGGCAAGTTGCAATTATCTCGAAAAGGTAGAAAAAAAGCAATTCTACATAGAAATTGGATAGTGGCGTCTGGAGAAGAAAAACCAAACTAAAATTTGTGATCCAGTGTAATTGAGGACTTAGATCTGTTAAAACTGCTTTCTGAGATACTAGCCTTAATTTTTTGATGTGTGATAACTCATTTGTTGTTGTAGTAAATAAAAAGTAGTATTGTTGTATATTGAAAAAAATTGACTACTGCACGTATACCATTTAAGTGTAATAAACGCTTTCGCTCAAAAAGCGTGTTTCCTACGTTTTTTCTGAGTAACGTTTTTTTTGGAAAAATAAAAGAGTTCATATTCCTATTCAGTGGCCCAGATTAGGTAAAAAACTATTTTAAAAATGAAGTTCTAATTTCGTTGAATAGTGTCATTTCGACGAGTAGTAACTAGTTCCTTCAAGGGAATGTTGTGCTAAGCTGGTGGGAATCCTGTGCTAAGCTGGCGGGAATCTTGTGTTAAGCTGGTCGAAGAAACCATGAGGTGCATACACCGGGAATGCAAAGCCTTAATGTCGCAGATGACAGCATGGTCAGGAAAGTGCAGGTATACTGGTGGAATTATCGAATCACAGAGCTGCGAAGGGCCTACCATAGAATGCACTGACTCGCAACACGCGCTCTTGGCAGACCTGAGGCGCTGACCAGAGCAGCAGCCTACAAAATCATTAAGAAAGCACTTGAGGTCAAAATTCAGAACAGCAAACGGAACTGCTGGTAAACGTTATATAATATAGTGGATGCCTTATTTCCCACACACCCACTAAGAGCAGATACAGTGATCGTCGAGGAGCATGCCGAGGCACCACTGTTTTCGGCAGGCCGCGATAGCATGCCAGCGGAGGCAATCAGGCTAGCAGCGAAAACAAGCCCTGATCACCTGCTTAACATGTACAACAGCTGCCTTTCGCTCGGGTATTCCCAAGGCAGCCCGACAACGTGACTTCAGGCAGGGATACTCAACTATAGGAGTAATTAGCGAAGTAGTCGAGGCGGTACGTAAAGCCGAAGAAGCTTGCCACCAGGCGCGACCAATAGTGCTGCTAGTCTCACTGGACGTCAAGAACGCCTTCAACTCGACAAGATGGGACGACATGGTGGAGGCCTTGGATCGGTCATTCATGGTTCCAACACACTTGCTCGATATGATTCGTGACTACCTCAGAGACCGCTGACTTTGGTACGACACAACGCAAGGTTAGAGAAAGAAACGTAAGCGGAGCGGCACAGGGGTCTGCACTTAGACCGCACCTCTGGAACGCCACGTATGACAGTCTGTTGCGCACGGAAATGCCGGAGAGCGCCTTCCTTGTCGCCTTTGCGGACGACGTGGCCGCGTCATAATAGCAAGAAACATCCAGCCAGCCCAGCTCAAGCTGAACCAAGCAATGCGCGATCAGGGTTTGCAATTGGCTACAGCCAAAACAGAGATCGGCCCCTCATCAAGAAACGGATCCCAACAATTATAAACATTATGTCGTATCTCAGCTCATGTCAACTTCTAGGTCTACAAAATACCTAGGGGTGAAGCTTGCCAACAAATTCACATTCTGGGAACACATTCATGCAGTATGTGAAAAAGCTGCGCAGAGTACGTTGGCTCTAAGCCGGCTTTTGGCGGATGCCGACGCATTGAAAGTCAATAAATACCGGATTGAAATGCATTCGGTCCAGCACAGAGGGGCAATACGCATTGCACGCGAAAAGAGATTCACAATCTCAGTGCCGAGATAGACCGATCAGCTGCCATGGCAAGGGAACGCGAGCAACCAATCCAGCAGTGGCAGCAAAACTGGAACGCGAGCACGAAAGGTCGATGGACGGACATCCTGATCAGTGTGGCCGCGAATCATTTTTAGTGGTAGCCAAATTCATTTAAAAAAAGGGCTAAAAAAGAGCTAAAAAAAGTCATTGTGGCTAAAAATGGTAGCTAAAATTTTTTACTTACAAATACATATATAAGTATACACGCAAACATTTTCAACAAGTAATGGTTTAGAAAAAAATGAATTCTGAAGAAAAGCANAAGGTCGATGGACGGACATCCTGATCAGTGTGGCCGCGAATCATTTTTAGTGGTAGCCAAATTCATTTAAAAAAAGGGCTAAAAAAGAGCTAAAAAAAGTCATTGTGGCTAAAAATGGTAGCTAAAATTTTTTACTTACAAATACATATATAAGTATACACGCAAACATTTTCAACAAGTAATGGTTTAGAAAAAAATGAATTCTGAAAAAAAGCAAATATTTTATCCAACCAAAAACCTTTTTTTATAAAAGGGGAAATATACGACACCAGCTTGCTGGCTCCATCAAGTGATTGTATCATCAGGCTCGACGCATATTACCAGCATGCTGGTACAATATTTATTTCTTT